TTTCCTACATTGGTATCAGTTTAATCCACTTTTAAGTGCAGTTTGAAAGTATATGCTAGTCTAATTGTTTCAAAATCAGTTTAGTGAATTCGCACTAGACCTCCAGGAATTATCAGGTGTTTTAAATCATGTTAAGACAAAACCGTGATCAAGAACCCACCATCCACCAAAAAGGTTCTGAAAAATTGTAACCCATATTTCCCAGAATTACAATGTTTACTTATATAAGAATGTACTTTTCTTTTAAGGAGAAGAAGTTGTATTTCTGTTTAATTCTAAGTTGCATTGAGCAGTATTTATGAGTTATGGATATTCTTACAGCTGATCGAGAGAAATATAATAGAAAGGATACTGAAACTTTAGTCTCAGGAGAGACGGAAGAAAAGACAAAGGAAATATTGTCATCAGCATATGAGGAATATGCTCCTGATCAGGTAAACACATTTTAAAAAAATATAATAAACAGGATAAACCAGAAAAATATGCCTACATGACGCTTAAAATATATATATTAGAATGGTAAAGATAATAAGCTCTTTGGACAAGTAACCATCCTTTGATTTTGTATTTGTACAACACTTAACACAATAATATTCTGTCCATGCCTGCGGCTCCTGGGTGCTACTATAATACAAATAATAATAATAAAAATACTATGGTAAAGATAAAATCTCACTACATTGGTCTGTGAGTGATGAATAAAATTATGAATGCCAATTTTTTAATTGATTGGAGAGTATCTCTTTGACTTTAATTTTAATTCATATTTTGAGAAGTACGCTGGACTGATCGTCTAGTGTTTTCTGACAGTGACAAATTTACCATAGTTTCTTTGGCTACTTTAATTAAGATTGCAGGCCCCTTTAAGAACAAGCACTGCTGGTCTGATTGCTAATGGAACTTAGCCCTTTAAGACTAAAGATTCTAGGAGATGTACTAATTATAATTGCTTGGTAATTGTGGGCAGAACTGCAATGCAGAAGTTGTACTTTCCTTTACACCCCACTTCTTTGCCTTCCTCCCCAACTAGCTCTTTGCTGCATTCTCACCCTCTCACCTTTTCTGTGTTACTCCCCTGACCCCTTTCTGCTCCCAAACTCCTTCTTGTACCCCCACCCCACCCACTCTTCTGCTGCCAAACTCCCTTCCAGACCCTGCTCTCCTCACCCTGTCCTGTACCCCACCTCCTACGCACATCCTGCTTCCCTATTCACTCGATGGCAATCTGTCCCACACATGGAATCCCTAATTTTTGTTCCCACCCCAGAGCCTATGGTGGTCCACAAAATCCACTAACTCTGGAACCCCAGAAAAGTAAATCTGGCCTATGAGAAGCCCTGAACCTCAGTCCTCCCTCTCCCCCCCGCTCACCCTGTGGCGTCTGGAGTGCCAGAAGAGTGAAGTATCTGAGTTGGAGGCCACATCAGTGAGGGTTGGGGGTTTTGGGAGTTTTTTTGCATCTCACTTGTGTGCTTCCCAACTGATTTTTCTTTAAATTGCGGCCAGAACCCGGCATGGTGTGGTCTGGGCAGTGCCAAGGGCCCCACCCCTTCCAGGGTTGCAGAGCCTAGCATCCCTCCCCATTGCTCAGGGTCCAGCAAAGTCTGTCACTAACCATGCATGTGTCACAAGACTCTTATTAGAAAGCAATTGCAAGATTATTGTAAAATTACTGTTCTGGTAGTTAATGATATTATCTTTGTGATTACCAATAACTGGACAGAAAATAACCCCTCATATGAGGGATTCCTTTCATAGTTTTGAAGTGGCAATATCAATAATTCAAAGCCAATCATTTACATGGCAAATTTTTGTTTTTCTGTCCACAAATTTTCTGTGAGCAGTCTGATTTTCTTCAACCTCTTTGGTTTTTTAATTTTGTTTACTTAATTTTATGAGTGAGTCATTCGTGGTTTGTAGATTGTGCACTAACTGTTCACTGTGAACTTTTAATATCTGAAATCCAACTGGTGTTGAGTAGTTCTGAAGGAGTATGTAAGTCACATAGTAAGTTTCTGTCCATGACTGGAGGAACATAACTCCTAGACTCAGGTTTCTAGTGAAAATACATTTAGAGGAGTTTAAGATTTGTTTTCCTCAAATATTCCCTAAACTTCTCATAAGCCATTCTGTTTCCATGAATAAATGGCCCTACTAGTGAACTGAATAATGTAGTCATGGGAAGCAGACCCAACAGGGAGGCAGTCTTACTTTTGTTTACTTAAATGACCATTCATGGTCATTTCTTGAGGTTTTTCTAACTCGTTAGATTTATGTACATTGTCCTTGTATCTGGGCTGCTTGTCTCCATTACTCATAGGCCTAGTCCAGTGGTTCTCAACTCGTTTCAGTCCATGGACCAGCAGGCCAATCAACAAATTTTCGTGCACCACCTCCTTTTTGAGACATGATAAAAAAGAGCAGACAACGAACATTTTGGTTTGAAATTTATTTCTTACTAACAGTTTTTTGGATTCTCTTCTCACTGACAAGCTTTTCAGTGTTTGGAGTGGTACTTCATAATGCACAACGAATATCACTTTCCATGCAAGCCGATTCCTCTGTTTGGACTTAACGTGCAACAAACACGAAAATCCAGTCTCACACATATAAGTTGATGCAAATGTCAAAAGAAATCTGACTGCGTGTGCTGACAGATATGAGTAACTCCCGGTTACGCTGGCCCAAAATTTCTCTATGGTAGACTGCTGGTACACCTCTTGAGCCGCAAAATCATTTTTCAGATCCAAGAATTACTCCTGCAGATCCTCTGGAACACTATTAACATCTGTTGTAAATGGATTCCTGATGAAAGATAATCCATCCCTTGTCCTGTCCACCTCCAGAAAGTATAGTTGGAATTCGTCTCATAGCTTCCGTAAATGATCAAGAATTTGTGTCCGAATGGCTGCCTTTTCCCCGAGCATGGTATCCACATATGGAAATTGAACCAAACTATTGCCTTCGACTCTTACAATCCAGAGTTCCAAATTTGTCAAGAAAAGCCTTGATGATGCTTTGCTGAGAGAACAGATTTGCACCTTTCCCTTGAAGCTGAAGATTCAGTTTGTTCAAGATTCCAAAAATATCGACAAGATACCCAAGTTCTAAATTTGACTGCATCAGCACATTACGGAATTCCTCTTTTCCTTGAGCCTGGAGAAATAAATCCAACTCCTCTCTCAACTGAAAAACTGTTGAGTACATTCCCTGCTGACAACCACCATATAGAAGTGTAGAACAGTAACACATCAAAGTCGAAACCTATGTCCAGGCAAAATCTTTTGAACAGCCTGGTGTTTAGAGCCGATGATTTGATGTGATTCACCACTTTCACCAACCCTTTGAAAACGGTATTCAGTTGATCATGCAATGTTTTTGACGCCAAAGCTTCCCTATGAATGAAGCAATGGACTCCGGTTACCATTGGAGTGTGCTGTTTCACCAGCATTTGGAAGCCCTATCTTGAGCCCAGCATGGCAGGTGCACCATCAGTGGTGATACCCACAAGATTTACCCAGTCCAGACCATGTACTTCAAAGAACTTGTTAACAATTTCCATTACATCCTGAGCCTTTGTGGTGGTATCAAGAGTCTTACAAAAAAGAAACTCGTCTTTGAAGTCTCCCTCAACCATGTATCGTGCGAACACCAATAGCTGAGAGCACAATGCGACATCGGTCGATTCATCCAATTGTATGGCAAACAATGGAGACGTCTTTATTTCATCCACATTTTGTTCACTGATGTTCTGTGATATCTCATTTATCCGTCTCGATACTGTGTCATTAGAGACAGATATATCATTCAGCTTCCTTGCTGCTTCCACGCCAAGAACCAGCTGCACCATCTCTTTTGTACAGGGGAGCACAAGGTGCTCTACAATGGTATGAGGCTTCTTCGCCTGTGCAACTTTGTATGTAACAATGTAGGAAGCACGCACTGCATTTCTTGTCTTATTGTAGAATGCACTTGTTGAGTTGAGGCGCTGCCATTTCAGACCTGATAACTGCTGCTCAAAATAATCTTCAACCTTTTGCAACAAGTTGAGGTGACACTTTTTGAGATGGAGTTTCAGCTTAGCCGGCTTCATTGAGTCATTCCCCAAGACTTTGAAACATATAACACGTTGTGGCAAATCCACGCCTTTTTTTTCTTGAAAAGTGAAACCGAATTTGATGTAGTCCTCCAAATACTTGCGCTTGACATTTCTTCCTGTCATTACCATTATAAACAAACTACACCACACCTGTAAAACAGCACATGTAGCACAGAATGAATGACACAGCAACCACTCAGCATGATGGCGGCAGCTACACTGACGCTCAGAGCCTCAGACAGAAGTTACTGGCAACACAACGTGGTTGCGTCCTACGTGACGCTATGGATGACACGCTGTGTGCTTGAGAACACGGCCTGCTCACGCCGTGTGACTTTGGACAATGTTCCCATGGACCACCAAAAAAGTCACCATGGACCACCAGTGGTCCATGGACCACCTGTTGAGAACATCAGGCCTAGTCTATACTATACCCCATGTTGTTCTAATCTATGCAAATAGTGTAGTTGAAGTTGATGTACTTACTGCCATGTCTTCCACATGCTAAGATCAGTGGGAGCTGCTCTCCCATCGACTTTGGCTACTCTTCTCCTCGTGGTGGAGAACCAGAGTCTATGGAGTCTGATTTATCGTGTCTAAACAGACACAATAAATCGACTGCCGATGGATCGATTGCTGCAGCATTGAAGTCTGTTGCCTGCCCTGCATGTGTCACGCAACTCTTATTAGAAAGCAATTGAAAGATTACTGTATACTTTGAGTACATAGTCACAGTCTCTCTAACTGCTACAGGTCTCTGATAGTAAAGTCAACTTCCATGCAAAATACTTAACCTTTGATTAAAGGTCCCCTGGTAGGCCCACACAGTGCCATATTTACTTGCGCCTCCTCACGGGGGATCATAGCTCCCATTGGCTACAGATCGCTGTTCCTGGCCTGTCAGAGCTGCACTTGCCATACCTTCGGAAGTACTGGTAAATATAGCATCAGCAGCCCACCAGGGGCTAACCCTGGTGAACCGCTGCCATTTTATTGCTCACCTCTGTTATTAGATTCAAGTACCATATAGCAGCTTGAAATGTTTAATATTTAATGAGCCTCTAGTTTTTCAATTACATTTTGCCTAGTACATGCCAACCATATGTTCTCTAACTCCAATTTAACAGAAAATTGTGTAGTTACTGTTCCCATCATTGACGATGAACAATATAATTCTGTTCAGATAGTCTCTATTTATTATACTCTGCACACTGAGCCAATCACTTATGTTTTAGCAGGCCATTTTCAGTTCTTCAGAAGCATCTGCATCCCACAGAGATGTATCTGTTGCCATAGTGAAAGAAGACAGTGAAAAAACAAATCCTTTGTTGACTGAGACTGAATCAGAGGTAGATACTACGTCCTTGGAAAAGCCAGAAGGTACATCACAAGACCAATGAACTAATATTTCTGTTTTATCTGAAAGGTTCAAATTTGGAATCCCGTATTTTCTCAGTTGACATGCGGAAAAATCTAAATTGTAGTTTGTCGCATATTCCTCTTCCATCACATGGGAAATGTCTTGAGAAGAACCTCTGCTAACTCTTAGCTCCTTAAATTCTTAGTCTCACCAACTGAAAGAATTCATTACACAGATTCAGATGAATCAGTGATATAACCTTATGCCATTTTGATTCACAGTTTTGGAAGTAGCTAGAGCTAAACCCCCATTGCATTAGGCATTGTATAAATACAGAACAGAAATGCAGTCCCTTGAAGCATGACCACCTGTGAGGAGGTCTGAAAGGGACTAATTGTCCCATAATGGGTGAGTCATTGCATTTAATAAGCCTGAAACCAGTGCCACAGTGACCTGATTGTGTAGGTTTTGAAGAACATTCTGTATAGAAGGGGCCTTGTGAAACTGAGAAGTGCAACTGAGTAGAACAACATTAACAAACTAGTATGTTAATATCAAAAGTGGAAAGAGAACCCATGATGCTTTTAGAATAACAGTTGTAAGTCACTGAAATGACACTGGAGCGCAGATTAGTGAGTGGTAGCTACAGTTGAACCATATCTGTTTAATTCAATGACTAGCAAAGTATCAACTCATAATCATCTTACCAATGAATTATTTTTAATATCTTTCTTACATTTTTTTCAATAATTTCAGAATCACATAAAGGAGAGGGGCCATCTGTGATTGCTGAAGAAGATGAACCCGCATAAACATCAGAACAACCAGAAGTGTTTTGGGACATGGCAACCCTCCTCCCCTAAAAAGAATCAACCTCCCACATAATTAAGTAGCAGGTTAATAATCTTGAAATGCCAGGCAATATATGATATTATAAACTTAAAATAATAATGTGCACACAGCCCTAATAGAACTTCCTGTCTGGTTGGGCACTTCCCAGGCTGTTGTGTTTGGGATCTATTGAAATGGATCCTGTGTGCTCTTTAAGCCTCCTGAACAGAGTCCAAACCTTACCCCTGTGACAGTAAAAGCCAACAGACACACAGACAGACTTTGCACAGCATTCTGAAACACAATTATTCTTTATTTAGCAACACAAGAGATACATAAACACTATAATAAGTAAACTTATATGCCTTTTCCCTACTTCAGTTTCTTTACCACTCTGGAGAGTTCTTTGTACTTGGGCTTCCTTTGAGATGTCCAGGATTCTTCTTCTTCAGCTCATGGTTTCGTTTTAGAATCTTTGAGTACTTCTAAGGGTATGTCTACACTGCAACACTATTTCAAATGACTAGCGGTATTCCAAAATAACTTAGTCCGCATCTACACAGCAGGCAGTTATTTTGAAATGGTGTCAAAACACTGTCAATCGGGAGGATGACTTACTCCAACTCCTGTAACCCTCATTGTATGAGTAAGGAAAGTCGCAGGAAGAGTGCTCTATTTTGAAATAAGTCCTGTGTAGACACTCCCTATTTCAGAATAATCTATTTCGAAATAAGATACGTAATTGACATAGCTCAATTTGTGTAGCTTATTTCGAGTTAAACCCTGTAATGTAGATGTACGCTGAGTTAGCTAGCTTTCTCTGATTTTGGACCTCCTATTAAGAAAGCATGCATTTCTCTTCTGCTCTCCTGCCCAGAGCTTCCCGTGTCTTGATCTGTGCGTCTTCCTCAAATTTTTGTGACCCCTACCAACTTCTGGTTTCTTTGTTCTCCATCCGGATATTTTCAGATTCCCCTCTCTGCAGAGAAACTTGGTTGAACTGGTTTCCCTGGTTGGGCATTCTCCTTACCATACCCTTTATTTGGTTAGAGAATGGTTATTAAAGTTCATAACTCCTCATTGTCCCTAGTATGGTAGATTCCACATCCTCAGAGAGGTATTTCCTGATACAATTTCATAATTTCATAACATCAAAGAGAATTTGTAAGTTGTACCTATAGTCCCCAAATTAATCACAGTGACACAAAATGCAGAAATATTTGGACATAAGCAGGAAAATTATTTTTATTGTTTATAATAATGTCTAGAGGCCTCAGCTGAGACTGTAGAGCCCTGTTATGCCACGTGCTGTAGTAACATATAATTAAAGACAATCCTTGTCCCAAAAGTCCAACGAAGTTTGTTAGAAACTTTCATGATGTCCCTTTGAGGCACATAGAGCCAAAGAGACTTTCTCCAGATTACACAGGAAACATGTAAGGCTGTCAGAACCACAAGACCATCCTTCATGGTGTAAATAACTGGAAACATGTGTTGGCAAATAGCTTCAAAGAAACCAAAGTATCCTAGGTTGTAAAAGAAAGTCTGTTCAGGTAGCATACATATATGCCATGCCCCTCATGCTTTATGACAGTTAGCTTATGAGTATGAATATGCATAACTCAAAGACATTGTAGCCATGTAGCTAAGATGTAGCTTTATATAATATAATGTGCCTCAGTGTACCTTGCCAGCCACCCTTTCTAACACGCAGAAAGGAACAGACTAGTGTTGTTGGCACAGATGCATTAAGCAGGCTGTTTGTCTTTGTTTTTTATGATAAGGCAGGAATAGATTCTTAAGGTTTTTGTTTTAAGTTTTACAATTAGTATTGTGAAATAAGTAAAGGGTATGTTTTATTTAAATTGTAATTTGATGTTCCTGCTTCAATATTCATATTGTTTCCGTAAAACAAATAAATCAATTTTGTGTGTGTGTGTGTGTGTGTGTGTGTGTGTGTGTAAAAGTAAAATATGTGTTAGAAGGTAAGTGTGAAGGCCATCACCAGAGCAGATGTTCTAGGGAGAAGCAAAGAACAGGTGTAAAAGTGCCAGGAGATTGCTGTATATCCCTATCAAGATGAGGATGAAGGGCAGATTGACGACTCTAAAGGATAATTCAAGCACCTATCAGTTGGGACAAAATAATGGAGATATGTGAAGAATGACTTAAAAACACAAGCACTCGTCACACGGCAATTGATTACAGGATGATGGTGGAAAACGTACTAATCCCAACAAAGGAAAACTGCTATAAAAAGGGGCTGCTTTGCCGTAATTTTTGGGTTCATCTTGCCAAGATTCTAGAGCATCAGTCCCGACTGATAGAGCCCTATTCCTATCCACGATCAATCTGGTAAATATTGTTAGGATAGTATATGTCTATGTAAGCATATGTTAGCTGCTTTACTATTGCAATCTTAATAAATGTGGCATATTGCCTTTTCCCTTAAAAAGATCTCATGTGCTTTTTATCAGCATAGCAACATTTTATGCAAAATGCATCATGTAACATATCAATGTGCTGAATGTGTATATTCTATTTCTGTGCATATATCACTTTTGTACATGAAGTTAAAAATACAAAGTGTGGATCTGTTTATAATTCTAAATGCACTAATGGAGGGCCATTACTGATACTCCGGAAACATAATGGCTCAGTACTCAAGGTAATAATCTGTAAATGTTTTTTTCCCATAAACCCAAACTGTGATTGGTCCTAGAAAAACATGTGACCATGCTACCTGGAATCCATCTTGAATCTTATATTTTTCCATGGATATGGGGAGACTAAACAAAGGGTTTCAGCTATTTAAATCTGAAATTTCACAATGTTGTAATTGTAATCCTGACCCAAAATGGACTTGTAGAGAGCTTGCAAGGTTACTGGGGAGTGGGGGGTTGGGGAATTGCGGTGCTGCTACCCTTACGTCTGTGCTGCTGCAAGCGGTGGTGCTGCCTGGCAGCTGGACAGTGGCAGCTGCTGCGCAGGAGTCCAGTCCTGAAAGCAGAGCCTCTGTCACCAGCAGCACAGGATGGCAGTAAGGATGGCATGGGATGGGATGGCCACTCTTTCTTCTGTGCTGCTGCTGGTGGGGTGCTGCCTTCAGAGTTGGACACCTGGCCAACAGCCACCACTCATCTCTGAAGGCAGAAGTCAGGGTGCAATACAATCCCCTAAAATATCCTTGTGACCCCCCCCCCTGCAACTCCCATTTGGGTCAGGCACCCCAATTTGAGAAACTCTGATCTTCCTCATAAAATCAGTTTAGTATATGGGGGAAAGCACAAAAAGACCAGATTTCACAGTCCGTGACATGTTTTTCATGGTCATGAATTTGGTAGGGCCTGACCTATCACACAGAGATAAATGGATTCATATCTATATTAACCACTGGGTGGCAGTATAAGCTTTAGCCACTCAGTAATAATTTTTAGAGCTTATGTAGCATTTATTCTCGGTTAACTGAGAAAGATATACTTTCAGTGTCTAGTGTTGCTATTGTATTTGACTATTGGTTTTGTACTGGCAAATTATAATAAACCCATAGTTAGCCACCCGCCTCCCACAGTGGGGATGCTACAGAAATTTGACCTGAGGTAGGTTGACTTCAGCTACGCTATTGACATAGCTGGAGTTGTGTATCTTAGGTTGACATTCTCTCATAGTGTAGACCTGGCCTAAGTCTAGTTCCTATTATACAGCTGATAACTTGGTACCTATGGTTAGGAAGCTAAGCAACTGATAAAATGTCTATTAGCCAAGATGAGTAGGAATGGTGTCCCTAGCCTCTTTGTCTGGAAATGGATGACAGGAGAGGGATTACCTGTTATGTTCTCTCCCTCTGGGTCATCTGGCATTGGCCACTGTCAGCAGATAGGATACTGGGCTGGATGTACCTTTGTTCTGAACCAATGTGGCCATTCTTATGTTCTTAAAAGGTTCAAGGCTGGATACTCAGCTGTAGCCTAGGAGCATTCAGTACAGCTCAGGAGAGGAGGTGGCATAAAGTGACATAAAGCTGCTTAACTCATGCATGAGTTAGAGAACTCTAGGTAGTCTACTGTTTAACTGGGCTTTTAAAATTTGGCCTGGGATTTTCAAGAGAATCTAAAGTCAACTCTCATTGAATTTCCAGATGAGAGAGGTGCCTGACTCCCTTAGATTCTATTTGAAAAGCCCAAGCTTTTCAAAGGTTTCTAGGTTGTTGATTCACTTCTCAGCATGTCTGACTTAATTTTTTGGACATTATATTAGACCAAATTAAAATGGTAGCCATTCCTCTCCTTTCCTATTGCTCAGAATAATTCACATCCGTTACAGGTTCCGGAATATTCAGAGCATCAACACCATCTTCAGTAGCAAGGTCTCATTTCTCTGATGCTGTGAGGAATAAAATAAGTAAGACATTCAAGAGTGTAAGTAATTTAAATTTCTTCCAAGCATTGTTGGATTGCTCCCCTGCGGGGCGATGCTCAGGGCAAGAAGTTGTGGGTGTATGTGATATGACAGTACTTGTAAGAAATTTAAGTGTGATTTGGAGTGCAAGGGGCTCAGGGCAGGAGATTGGGGTGTGGACACTGTTCCCTGTAAGCTGTGTGCTTGTTTGGCCACTAAGGAGAGATTCAAATGCTGCCCACCTCATTAGCAGAATGCCCACAACTAGATTGTTTTTGTTTCTACTGGTGGTGCACATTTGCACATGGCTCAGTGCACATTAAAATTATTCAGCACATGGCTGAAAAAAATCCCCACGAGGATGAAAAAGATTAGAAGGAACAATGGGTGTGGGGTGTTCAGAAGCCATGGCAGGAGGCTGGGTTTGTGTGGGGAGATGAAGGAGACAGGGTTGGAGATGGTGGTGGGGGGGACTCAGGATAGAGGGTTGAGGTATATGATAGTGCAGAAGTCAGGGTTGTGGGTGTGAGGAAGGTCTCAGAGTAGGGTGCTTGGGGGTGTGTGGAGGGGTGTAGGAATCAGGGTAAGGGCAGGGGGCACAAGGTAGGAGTTTGGGGGGTGTGGGGTAGGTGCAAAGGGAGAGGGCACCTTTTAGGGGAGGGCAGGGGGGCTGAAGTCACCTCCAATTACTACTGATGCTGCTTGTTGCTTGCTCTTCCCCTTTCATCACTGTCAGGGTGGCTCGCTCACTCCTCTTCCCCCTCCCTGCACCAGACAGGAGGGAGAGGAAGGCAGGGACACTGTGTGCTTTGCTTTCCTTCCCTGATAGTGAACAATAGGCAACAAGCAGTATCAGTAGGAACTGGAGAAGGAGACGCTTCAGTCCCGCTACCTTCCCTAAACCATGCCCTGGGGATGGGGCTCAAGGCTAGGGCATGCCCCCAGCTAGTCCCTTTCACCTGCCTGCTGCTTAGCACTTCAGCCAGCAGGAAAGCCCTGGGAGGAGCACTGGTTTACTTTCACTTCTGAAGACATTGTTCAGTTTTCAGCAGTATGCCTTCAAGAGTAACTTAAATCTACAGAGTTACAGCCTATGCTATTTCTTCCTTAAGCCACAAACGGATTGTATCAGGGAAGAAATGCATTGTAGTCTAGACACGTTGTTTAGCTCTGCATCACGTATCACATGTCTATGGTAGCCACCACCATTACTATTTATAAATTAGTAGTACGAACTGATGAGAAACCCATCAGAAAACTGCACTTCGCTATTTCATTCAAAGATGTAGCCGCCTGCAGGAACTGTTGCTAGTCTCGCCTTTCAGAATTTGAATTGTCCTGCATTAGAGGGAGAATATCTATTAATCTAATCGAGGTAATTATGTTGCATTGTGCTAAATAAACACTTAAAGTTGGAAAAATTGGGGCACATGTTTTTGAGGGTATGTGTAACTCTTCCTTTTGGTATAGCATGAATATGTGATTGAGGAAAGGAGTAGCAGCCCAAAGGCACATAAGAGCTCAAGGAACCTAGAAGAGGTAAAATTGTTCCCCTTGTGCTGCAATGTTTTTTTTTTTAACAAGGAAGCATTAGCAAGCCAACTCAGAGTGTGTCTTGGGTGTGGCCAGGTTCTCTGATCTGCTGTGGACACAGCTGCCTGAGTAATGTGTACTCACACTAAAAATAGTTAGTTCCAGATTGTACTGTATAGGAACTGGGAACAAGTCTTTTAAATAATCTGGGTGGTCTCCAGTGGGCCTTCCTGTTGTCTGTTGCTGAACCCATCAGGACCCTGCCAGAACAGCAGGGAGCGAGGCAGGGCTGGATTAAGACCTGCTGAGGCCCTAAACTATGTCCAGTTTAAGAGGCCACATATCATTACCTAAAAACAATGAATTATTCTAATGGAAAGGACAATGAAAATAGACATCACAAAGTTTTATATTTACATATATGGTGGTACATAGGAGTGGATGCAACTAAAAACTAGTCCTTTTTTTTATTCAAAGGCCCTTCATAATCTGAGGCTCTAAAATGTATCTTACATAGCTTGTGCATAAATCTGGCACTGGAGCTAAGTCTTGTAAAATTGTACATAGTTAATAAACACATTTTTTTGACCATGCAACTGTGCCCATGTGATTTTCCCCATATTCTCACTGTTTTGTAGAAAGGAAGGACATGACAGACTGCATTATTCCAAACAGTTTTTAGGGCAGAGAACCTTGAACTAAGGGGCTATCTAGCAGCGTCCCTTTCTCATGTTATTTATTGTGGTTCTGTCTGCAAGATATGCTTCTCTGCTTTTGTCATCAAACTGAGTTACATGCTAAACACAGTTCTTGGTAGAAGGCCCTTGAGCTTGAGTTGCTGTGCTGCCAACTGTCAGTAAATTTAACATCCAGCTACTTGCCTGTTTAACTAGCTGATAAATAAGACATTTTCTTAAAAGCTGACAGTAGGAGCTTTCTTCTGGGAAAAAGTGTAAGTCTCCCTCATGGATGTTCTGTTTCTGGAGGCAAATGCTTATACTGATCCCTTACTTAGCCATCTTGTATGTGTATTGCTGCAGTTTGTCTATAGCACTGTGGGGCCTCCAGCCCTGTATCCCCAGGCTGTGCTCTTGGCTGATTTCAGAAGGTATGTGGTGTGGTCATTGTGTGAATGGGTGAGCTATGTGAAGTGTGAAAACAAAGAGGGTTCCATAGTGCACAGCGCTGCTGCAAGTTAATATGTAATAGGATAGTAGAGCAGTGCCAAAGATGCCAGTTTGGGATTTGGTAGACAAACGAGGCCCTGATCTTATGGAGTCTATTTAAGATTCCATACAATACTTTATAAAGCACGGGGGGAGGGGAGCGGTTACCAGTCTCAATCTCTGGTCCAAATTACAGGGCCAGTAATAGATTTAGTTACCAAGGGTACATCTACTCAGCAACATTATTTTGAAATAACCTAGTCCGAGACTACACAGCAGGCAGTGATTTGGAACTAGTGTTGAAACATGAGTCAGCAAGCCACTGGCAGCCAGCTCTCCAGCACTCCCCAGGAGCAGTCT